TTAAATATAAAATTTGGATGTTAATGAATTTTCATGTATTTTTCAACATAAAGTTGAAAAACATTATACTTATGCCTTCTGGATGTCTCAAAATGGAAATCATACTGCTGCCTTTTAGGTGGGTTTTGGATTATGTGGAAGAGACCACATTCTTACTGTAACATTTGATTGAGTCACTGATTTAATTCACCAAAGACACAAAACTTTACGGAAAGTGAGACAACCACAGGGGGAGGAGCAGTTACAGCGAGGTTCATGCAGCTCCACTTTGCTGCCATGTTTCTCCCACAAGGGACATCAGATCTAGAAGACTCTTTTCCTTCTCATCACAATTTCATCTTATTCTATACTCCCCTCACTCTTAAAGAAGAACGTGTACTAGCCATCTCTGCCCTTCCATTTAAGGGAATATTTACATTCAGTTCTCCTGGTTCTTGAACAGAATCACCATGTGCTCATCAGTGGAGAGAAAGCAGAGTGAATTCTCAGTTGTCGCGAGACAAAAACTTATTCCTTGTACTTACAGAATCAATGACAGTTCATTTCCCCGCATTCAGTCCTGTGATTTTGATTTAATCTTCTTTCAACTGAGTGCTGCTGATGCTGAATTTAATCTAAGGGCTACAATTGAAAATGCATTTTCCTGCACCAACCTATTGTTACTGCCTCTAAAATAGATTTGAAAGTGCAGTAAATCTTTAAGATAATGGAAAGAAAATGGAATTGAGTGTCAGAAGTTGTCCTGCTTCTCTACTGCTTACTATCTTCATGACTTTAAGCAATTTCCTTAAATCTCCTGAGTCATTGGTAAAATGACAGTGATAATATAGACCTGAGAGAACTGTATGGAACCACACAAACTGATACACGTGAGAATGTGTTTCGTAAACCACAATACACCAGAACCATGTGTATTCTTATGCATGTGACAAAAATAGGTGTTTTAAAAATCAGCTATCCAAAAATAATACTAATCACTCTATAAACCTACAGTCTTTGCACAACGGTTGTACCATAGTCCTGAAAACATTAGAATATGATATACATCTAGGTTTTTCACCTGAAAATAAACTTAAAAGTATTCAAGTATTTAAAAAATATATTTATATCCATAGATTTTAAAAAATAGCTTTTATTCTTTTACTATTACAACTGTTTGTGTATAAAGTCTTATAATTATTTCTTTTTAAACCTAAAATTAACATATCTTCTTTTCTTCCGATTAACACAATTGAGTAGCAAATTATTTTTTTAAAAGCTTTCTAAACTGATATTCTGAAATGACTCATCCAAGAAAATACCTTTTCTATTCAGAAATCTGCACTTCTATTTTATTCTTTAGTCAACCACACTATTAACCACACAACCCTAAAAATGTTTGCTGTATCAATCAACCAAAGGCCAATCATTTCATTCATTCCTCCATTCAGGGGAATGCCCCAGGCACGTGGATGATGACAATGACTTTTCTGTGACATTTTTGGTAGACCTGGCGATGAGTTAGTAAATATGTGAGGAATTTGTCCTTTCAGTTTTATAATGAACTTACAGGCTTACCTCAGCCTGCATTGTGGAAACCAAAGATCACTAAAGGGCTTGGTAAAAACCTCTTTGGATTTCTCACTCATGAGTTGGAAACCTAAATGCCTAACCTGAGCTTTCTTTTGGAAACTATGAAGTTGAAATCTCTGCTTTATTTTATCTGCTGGTGGCCTGACCTGTAAAATTGCTCTGCAGAAATACATCCATCTAGAATGTTAAAGATTGAAAAGTTCACACACTACTGTAACAATCTTATGGCATTCCGCTGAGCTCCCAGCTCCCTCTTGGTGGCCAAGCTATGATGATCCATTGCAGCTTTGCCATGATAGCAATCTTACCCTGCAGCGTGTAGGAGAAGTGGGAGAATTCCCCTCCCCTCTTTTCCTTAATGTTCTTATGGCTGGTCAAATAATTAAAAAGGCAGGTTAGCAGGAGAAAATCAAACAAAGCTTAATAGCATGAATACATGGGAGAAACTCAGGAGAAAGTGAGCAACTCAGCCAACTGGTCAAGGCTGCCGGTTTAAGGATCTTCAGCTCCAGACAAGGAGGGCGTTTCAGGTGGTGATTTGGGGCTTCAAAAGGGAGGAAACTCACAAGGAAATGGAAAAGCAAATGTTTGGTAAATAGAACTTTGATAAGAGTGGGTTTAGCAAGGATCCTCCCAGTCTACCGGATACCCAGAGCTATGTATGGTGATGGCCTGTCCTGGGGACAGGCCTTCAGTTTAAATTTCTTTTAGGCTGTTAGAGGGGAAAGGTCGAATGTTCTTCCTGAGTCTGAGCCTTTATTGTCTTCAGCTTGAAATAATCCGCCTACCAGAGTGGCGCATCCTCGGAGGTCTGCCCTGAACCCCATCTGGTGACATATACCTTGGGATTGTTTTCATCCTGTGTGAGTGGCTTATCCACGAGCTTCATCCTTTCATAGTCTCAATATTAACAATGGAACTAAATTAATGTTTTTATTTTTTGACAAAAATATGACTTTTAATAATGCCGTTTTAATAGCTTAGATCATTCACAATAGACTTGAAAAATTATTGTTTTCTTAGAGTCGCCTTGAACTTGCTTCCAGACCTGTGATGTGCTGGTCTCTGTTAAGGACCAAAACCCAAAGCACTGAATAGGAATTTAGGAAATTTGGATTTGGGTCTTGCTCTTTCACCACCTGGCTGAGAGTTTTAACCCTGTGCTTCAGCTTAATCATCTGTGTGACCCCGGGCAAATCACTTGATTTCTTTTGTGCCTCCGTTTTCTTATCTATAAAAGGAGATAATAAAGTGCCTACTTCTTAGTGTTGTTGTAAAGAGTCAATGAGATTATGATTATAAAGGGCCTGCAACAGTACTGGATTTATGCTAAGAACATATATGTTATCTATAATACTCTAACAGTAATCTGTTGTCATAATTCTTTTATTATCTCACCTCACAAGGCTGTAATAGTACCAGATGACATAATAAATGAACTAGTTATTTTCATTACTGCATAGCAAACTACCACAAACTCAGCAGCTTAAACAGCGCCCATTTATGCCATAGTTTCCGGAGGCCAGAAGTCCAGGTCTAGCTTAACTGGATTCTTGCTCAGGGCCTCACAAGGCTGCAATCAAGGTGTCAGCTAAGCTGTGTTGCTTTCTGGAGATCCAAATTCTCTTCCAAGCTCATGTGGCTGTTGAAAGAATTCATTTCCTTAAGGTTGTAGGGCTGAGGTTCCCATTCTTGCTAGATGTCAACCAGGGTTCACTCTCAGCAACTGGAGGCTGCCCGCTGTTCCCTGCCATGTGACCCTTTCTGTAATATGGCAGTTGCTTTCTTCCAGAAGAGAAAAGCTTGTCTCACTGGCTTCCAATACTTTACCATGAGATGACGAAAGCTCTGCTTTACAGGGCTTATTTGATGAGGTTGGGCCACCCAGGGTAATCTCCCTTTAGCCATATAAGGCAGCATGATCATGGCTTGATACCTTCCCATGCTCACAGTTTCCACCCTCACTCAAGGGGAAGAGATCACATGGAGCGGGGCGGTCATCTTAGAATCGGGCCTTCCACAAATGTGAATATGAAGTAAAAAGTAAAAATGCTGTATAAATATAGAGTGCTCATTATTATAATTTTTATTATTGTCACCATGATGATCATGATATTAACAAATTCTTAACCTCATACAACACTATTCCACTTATTTTCAGTGGTTTAAATTAGCTATAAAGAGTATTCCAATTCATCTAATAATTGTGTACCTCAGAGCTTAGCATTCAGCTTATAACTCCTTGAATTCCTATTCTCTTTGGGATGTTTACTTCCCACATTCCCTCCTTTGATCTGAGTCACTGAATCATGGCAAGAACAAAGTTCCATGGAGAAATAGGTTTCTGTTGGAGTCATCAGTCCATAAAAAGTTCAATCGTTATCACTCTTACATGTATGTACCAGTCTTGAAATTCCCAAAGGCCTGGTTGTACTCAGCTCTAAAACAAATAAAAGAAAAGGTCATATTTTCCACTGCTTTAATGAAATTTAACCCAGAACTAATGTGACAGACTCAGAGACGTTTATTTGTAGGCAGCAGGACTGAGTTTAAGATAATCCACATGACTATGGCTTTGTCATTTAACCAGCACTCATGGTGGCCTTGTATACTGTAAAAAGTTCAATAAGTAGATAATAAAATCAAATATAATTATAAAGCAAAAATATATACAAAATAAAAATACAATAAAACAACGATGTAGGGAAAAGTTAAAATTAATTCCTCATCCATTAAAATAAAATGGGGAATTTAACCCAGAAATGCAAACAAGAAGCTTCTGGTATTTTATTAATACAAGTGCTTTCAGGGCTGAGATGAATTTCATATCCATACGGAGATTAGTAAAATTTTTGTACACAGAATAAAAAAAGAATACAAACTACGAAATGTATCTGTGCTCAAAATCATCTCTGCCACTGTTGGCAATATGATCATGGATGAGTCAATTTTCCTCACTGAGACCTCATTACCGCCTCCTGGATAAGGAGTTAATACTGTCTACTACAGAAGGTGTTCTGAGGAGTAAGTGGAATAACCTATGCTAAGATCTCAGGACAATGTTTGGTACATAGAGGGCATTAGAAAGTGATGACAACTGTTGTTATTGTTATTATTATTTATTTTAATTATGTTAACATGTGACCCGATGTCTAGGATATATTAAGTACTCAGAAAATATTACTTTCTTCAACCTTCTTGGATACCTGTTTGTTGAGTTGAGCTGGATCTGTCAAGAAGAGTATTATGGATATTATCAATCTGAAATACATTAAGAGGTTACTCTTAGTCTAAACTTTATTTAATTGTATACAATTTTCTTCCTCCCCTCTTTCTCCCTGCCTTCCTGTCTTCCTTCCATCTTCCCTTCTTTCACTCTACTCTCTCTCTTTCTTCCTTCTTTTTCTCTATCGTTTTTTCTCAAGCAGATATTATTTTAAATTTCCGAACAACCTATGTGAGCAAGTCTGGCCAGGTTATCTTTGAAGCAAGATCAATTTGCATCCACTACGTCACAACCTGGTTCATCATTGATTTGATCGCTGCCCTGCCTTTTGACCTCCTGTATGCTTTCAACGTCACAGTGGTGAGTAAAGAGCTCCCTTCCACATGACCTCAAAGGCTGGTTTTACCCCTGTGCTTCTTTTTCACATGTTCAGGTTTTATTCATTTGTGGCAATTTGTGCATCCAGGATTTTGTTCCCTCTTCAACAAAGATGCCAAGGTGACCAATGATATGCCTATCAGATTCTCCACTTGAGGAAGTTACTTCCTTTTGAAATTTGCATTACTTAGTTATACCTAGTTATTTGCATTGTTTCTAGTTATTTAAATACCTGGAACCAGGATATACAAAAAGCCTGAATTTATTATCAATACTGACTCACTAAAAAATCCTTTGACAAGGAAACCATGTGTAGAAATACGAGCATTACTTTATATTACTAAGGCAGATATTAGCCTTGAGAATTTGGTGGAGACTTTAAAGATTTCTTCTCCTTTTATGAATTTCCTCTCTACCTCTTGAGTATTTCCTTATTCACTGACAAAACAAACAAGACCGATCAAGACAGAGAAAAATGCTCAAATAAAAATAAGAGAATTTAACCACTTTTTGGAAGTCCTTGTAAAAATGTTGGATGGGACAGAAACCTAAATGATGCAATGACCAACATAAAGTTGAGAGTTCTCTTGAATTTTAATTGATATTTGTAGCTTCCCCTCTTTCTTCATCTAAAGCCTTTATCCTCTTGTCTCATCACAGGAAAGAAAACATGCCCACTTGTAGTAGCTATTTTTACTATTTAATCATTGATACTCTTAAAAGCAGTAAGTGCTTCCTTATAAACAGAGAGACATCTAAGGAAGTATAATAGTAGTTTGGGACCAGTAATGCAATTTGCTGTGGAGTAACCAATTTTAGCAGGTAAAAATTTACCGATTATTAGTTCAAGTTAAATATATTTCCCACTCAGTTGATAACCCCTTGTAGAAATCATATTCTCTATCAAGAATTTAAAAGCGTAGTTTTTAATATTAAACAAGGTGATCAGTGTTTCAAATACATTCGAATACAGAGTGAAGATCGAACTATACTCCTGACTATTTAGTACAGATTTCTGCACCTGTTAATTGCCTGTACAATAGCATTTTTCTTTTCTTTTTCTTTCTTATTTTTTTTTTTAAGTTGGAAAGTTGAGGGTGTCAATCTCTTTAAAAGGTTTATAACTCAACTGAAAGGAAAGCTCTGGAGAAAAATCTAGTATGTAATATCAATCAGTGCTACACTGAATTGTTATCCAAGCTTTTTAAAGTGCTTTTTAAGATTGAATTTGACTAGATAAGTGTACTATAATGAAAGCGTAATGACTTAAAATAAGGCTTTTGCAAGGTTGCAAAAAAATATCCAAAAGCAATATATAATTCACAAAATGCTAAAAAAATTTCCAAATTCTCCTAGAGAATTGTTAAATACATGGTGCTTAATAGACTCTGCTCTAAACTAATTGACTCTTTTGCTATACTAATAATATTTTTTATATTCCGTTTTTCTTTGGGTCCTGAACAGATAGAATAATTTTAAATATATATGTTATAGAATTATATGATAAAATACATAAAATAAAAAATACATAACATGTATTTATGTATCAGCATCTCATTGCCTAAAATTAACATGGATAAAGGATTTTTGAAAGTCTAATTCTCATATTTTGATAAATTTTAAATTCTTGTGCACTTTCACTACACTTCTGTCTTTCTTCTTTCTTATTTGTGAAATCTGGCACAAATACTTTACAAAGAATAGATCAACATCTATATCAGAAAGAAAGAAAAAGAACACAGCTAGCTAGCAGGTTCCTAAATTGATCTTATGATTTTATCTTTTTGAGTACAGAATAAGTCACAAGATTACAACTGAACACAATCTTATTGAACATCTATTGTTATCCTGAGCTTGGAGTGTTTTGTATCTTAACTTAGTAATTTATCCTTTTATTCATTTAACACTATTTATTGAGCACTTACTAAGTGTCAGGCACTATTCTAGGTACATTTTTCTTAGTGATAAGGGAAGATGGCTAGGAGAGGAAGGAATTAGAAGTCAACTGAATCCAGCTAATTGCAAAGGCAAACTTCCAAAAGATGCTGAACTTGTTTATAATTCTGTCTGTAAAGAAAAAATTCCTCTTAGGTTGGTCATATACATCACTTCCTTCCACTCTATTTATGATTCTACCCCCCAAATTAGATAAAGTCAAGGAATTTGTCAAACTCTAATGTCAAAACTCTATTTGATATTAAATCAGCCAGGTACAGAAAAAGAGAGAAATCTTAATTAAGGAAGAAAAGTATTTACTCAAAGAAATTAAATTGTCTTATCTTCCTTTATCCTATCACTTCCTGATAGAATATGTCAAGAACAAAGAAATGGTCATGTTCATGACCATAGTACTGGAATAATGTTTATACTTCATTTTTAGAACTTTCCAGAATGGCTATAAGCTAAAGTAATGTCATGGCGTGAAGTGAACCCATGAGCTAAATTGTGCTGCTCTGTCTGCTACCTCAGGTGTCTCTCGTGCATCTCCTGAAGACCGTACGGCTGCTGCGTCTTTTGCGTCTCCTGCAGAAGTTGGACCGTTATTCCCAACATAGCACAATCGTCCTGACTCTGCTCATGTCCATGTTTGCGCTCCTTGCACACTGGATGGCGTGTATCTGGTATGTCATTGGAAAAATGGAGAGGGAAGACAACAGCCTTCTGAAGTGGGAAGTTGGTAAGGGCTTACATTTGTCACATTTTCCATTTTTAAGCAAAAAGGAAGATTGTCTAGAATTTGGAGGAGGTGAAAGATGAGTCTATAAGTACATGTCCTCTGTTGATTTTTCTCATCTTTTTAGGGGGAGGGGAAGGTCCATGACACAAGTGATTTTTTTTTTGAGAAAATTTTCTGGAGCAAACTTATTTTGTTTCAAAGAGTTATGGGTTAAACTTTCAGTGGGTTAACTGTTCAAAATGACCAGCAAGGCTGTGAAAGTTTTTAGATAGGTAATGTGTGATCTTATCTTGACATATCCAATGCAGGGACAGTAATAGTAAATCACTGGGCACCTGACCTATGGCCAATCATGACAATAAGAAAATGATCACTCGTGTTTGGGAGTTGGGGGAGGATTTAATAGAAAAGATACACCTGCCATTCTTTCTCTTAAAAAGCAAGAGAGAGCTATCATAATGACACAGTTCCCACATTTAGCGAACTTTGAGAATTTGTGATGTAGAGAGAATTGGATATTCACAAATATAATTTACAAAATTTTGTGTCCCCATAGTACATGGGAGTGTAAGAGATTTTCCAAGTGTTACATAATTCTGCACAAAGAAAACTGAAACGTTCTGCGTGTGAACACATCTTTTAACTTACGTCAACCACATAAACTTTAGAAAAAATGAAAATTTTGAAGCTGTAACTCTCTATCCTAAAATATCTTTGTTCTTCTCATAGTCATTTCCTTTAGAGAATCATCATAGTACCCTACATAGGATTTTTGTTCTTAATCTGATATTTAATCTAAAGAATATGTTTCTTGGTTGGTTAAAAAATCCTTCATTTATGTTCTCCTCCAAAAATCAGTCTTGAACTTTTGAAAGAAGCCCAGACCTTTGCACAGGGATAAAGCCACAAGAGATTCCCAAGAGAGAAAAATGTTCTGACCTCTCATGCCAGCACTTAGTGGCAGAATGCATTTTGAACTTCCCTGGGTTGGCCCTCATTAATGCCACTCTCTCACCGTAGGGTGTATACAAAGCCTTCAAAGGCATCTTTGGAGAAAAAGCTGGAGACCTTAAGAAAGCAGCTTCAAGGGAGTGACTCTCCTGTCTACGTTCTTAAAAATGCTCCTACACATCTCAATTTCATCCCTGAGCTACTCAAAGCAGCTGATGTACTCTGAGAATTTTCATCTCAGAATGGTTTTCTTATCTTCCTTATCAAAGCACTTTTTCTGTGACTTGCTGTGGACCTCAATTCTCAGAAATGAAGTAAAGGGAAAAATAAAACTGCAAAGTGAAAGCAAAAATATCCTTCATAAAGAGAATATGAGATGAGAGAGAGAGGAAGAGGTAGGGGGAAAGAGAAGAGTTGATCAAAAAGAGGATCAAAGCCTGGATTGCACTTGGATTAAAATATTTTCCATCCTTCAATACCATTTCCCTTTCTCTAACTTTGTCCTGAAGGCTTTCCCATCACATTCTCTAGTGGAGCTCTAATGTGCTTCCGTGAATTACGGCATTAGATCTCTGCCCTTTGTTTTGAACCCATATTAAAACTCTGACTTGTGGTCAGCCACCTGATTCCTTTTTGGACCTGACCTAATTTCCTTTGGGCCCCAGACCTATACACTCATATTAATTTGTAAGGCTTGTCTAGTCTGAGAGTCTCCAGATGGGGATATTCAGCTTACTCATGCTCTCAAATTTAGTTATGTGAGGAAAGCTTTTTGTTTTGTTTCTAACACGCCAGTCCTGCTGCAGACATACAAACTAGTTGTTGTTTTTCTTCCCACAAACATGCAGAGTTATTTTCTAAGAAAAAAGAAGCCAACTACCTGAACTGCTTCTGTATTGCTCCCTTCCACTCCTACTCTTGGTCCTGGGGTTATGGTTCAGTATAATGAGTGGAGGCTTGAGAACTAGAAGTCAACCCACAAAGAGAGCATTGGCATAATCGAATAGTCGGAAGAACCTTGGGTTGGAGGCAATGGATCCCTTCTATCATCATGGTTCTACCACTAACCAACTGTGAGATTTGCAGTAATTTTGTTCACCTGCCTGGGCCTTAGCTTCCTCACTATATAACTTGAAAGTCTATTTCAGGTTCCATGATTTATGACTTTAATGGAAGAACAAACCCAGTATCGTGTGCTTAATATACCTATCTTTTATTTTAGCTCAGTACCCACATAAACCAGCAGTAGCAACCATCCAACGTCAGTAAGTTTAAGGAAAAGGGCTGTGTCAGGAAGTACATTCTATGATCATGGCATGTCAGGGAATTGATATGTTTTACTCAGTTGTGATAAAAATGACCGAACATTTATCTTTAGAGAATTAGATTTCCTGTCCAAACACCTCTCAGGATATGATCAGGAAGGTAGTGCCTGTCAAAATTGGATTTACAGGCTTGACTACAAGGACTTTCCCTTCCTCTAAAATTACTTGCATCATTTGTTCATTTAAAACATTCTCCAGCTGAGATTGGACACAAATTAAATAATTATGACCTTCCTTGCCTAATTTTATAATGAAGCAGCTGAGAGTCTAGGCTAATTTAGTTTTTACCATGTAATTTGTCCACTAATAATATGTTTTACCTTTTTCGGTCCAATTATCATGAATTGGAAAACGCACTATACAAACACAATTTCGTTAGAGAACACGTTGTTCTTTATGTTGTGACTAACATTAGATGTATAGAACAGATTCACCTTTCCAAGTGAAAAAAATGGACATTTTCTTTCTAATCGCTAATTGCCTTGAAATGATTTTTTTTCCCCTTTTGTCCTTGGCAGGCTACCACTTACAGCTAGAGAGAGTTCCAGTACTTTGTATCAGACCAAATCAAAGTTAGTCTTTAAATAACGTTATAGTGAGAGATATAGCTATCTCTCTAAGATATCCATTTTTGGAAAGAAGCATACCTGTAGACTAATTATATCAGAAGCTGCTTATGAACTGATTTGCCTAGTGTTATATTTTACTTTATATTTTTATATGTTTCTATACTATATTTGAGGAATTTGAGGTTTGGCTTATTGTTCCCTGGAATTGTAGACCTGGGAGGACCTTGGTCTAACTCTTTGATTTTATGGCCAGAAATCCAGCTCTAGGTCATGCAAGATCTTTGGTGGAAGTGGTTGTTGTCTGTTGTGTCCACTGCTGCATCCCCATTGTGGCGTACAGTTCCTGGCACATGACACATGTGCAAAAAGATTGTTAAATAAATCAATCTTCAAATCATTCAGTTACTAAGTCACAATCATGAGACAAGAACCTAGACTCCCTAACTCCTTGTGTAGAACTCCTTCTAATAATTTTGAATATTATGAAATTATAGAGAATGGCGATTTAGCAAATTCTTTCTGGCAGGAAGATTGAGAGGAGAAGAACAAATAGAGTGCTCACTTAAGATTTGACCATTCATTCCAAAATTGTTTTTTTGAGGAAGATTAGCCCTAAGCTAACATCTGCTGCCAGTCCTCCTCTTTTTGCTGAGGAAGATTGGCCCTGAACTAACATCTATGCCTATCTTCCTCTATTTTATATGTGGGGCACCTGCCACAGCATGACTTGATAAGTGGTGCATAAGTCTGCGCCCAGGAGTGGAACTGGCAAACCCCAGGCCACCAAAGAGGAGCACGCAAACTTAACCGATACGCCATCCAGTGGCCTCCAAAAATATTTTTGAGTGCTCACTGCTTGCTTGGTCCTGTGTTAGGCCCTGGAGATACCAAAACAAATAATATACTTAATGCGATGGAGCTTAAAGTCCAGTAGGAAGAATAGGTAAATAATTCACTGAATATATCAGTGTGATATATTCTATAACAAGAATATGCGTAAAGGAGTGGTAGCTAAATCTAATTAGAATGTCAGCAAATGCTTTTCTGCCTTGAGCTGAGTTGTAAAGGATCAATAGGTCTTGTCTCTACAGATGCTGAGGAATGGGCATGTGTGACAGCAGGGACATGACGATATGATGCAGTTCAGTAGAACCAGCATAGAGGTGAATGGGGGCAGGTGGATGGTAGTAAGATGATGCACTAAAGAGGTAAGTAGTTAGGGGCCAGATCTTTACAGACTGTTCATGCTAATCTTTAGAGTTGGGACTTCATCCTAAGGCCACAGCGAGGCAAAAATTCTCTCTTGGGCAGTGATCCTTTGAGTATAGAACACTGGGCAACAAGGGGAGGTGTTTGGCTTTGCTTCATTTTCAATATCTGTAAAATGCTAATAGTAATAGTGCCTACCTCATTGGGGTTGCCAGAATTAAATTAGGCAATCTATGGGAAGCATTTAGCACTGTGCCTGGTACCAAGTATCTGCTCAGTAAATAGCAGCTATTTTAACAATCATTACCATTTTATTATGACAGTTACTTCTAACAGAGTGCCATGAGCTGTGACTGGTGATACTTAGCATTTTATATGGGAAAGTTATTAAGAAATGGCTTAAAAAGAGTTGCCTTCAAGGCCTAGTTGTAGTGCTGGACAAGAAATTATATGTTTTTGTGTATCTTCAACATAATATATTTACCCAAACTCTTTATTTGAGCAACCCTCTGAAAAATTAGTAATTTTCACATAGCCTTATAAGTGCACACAGATAGGAGATTTCTCCTTCAAGGCTAATGCAGGAGACAGGTCCAACATCCACACCCTATAAGCTTGCTGGGATATATCAAACTTCTATGAAATTTAGACATAGTGCTTCCGTGGCAAGATGTAACACTGCGTTAAAGAGATACATCACAACTGAGTCGAAGCATGCTTTTTTCAATTTTAATTTCTGTTTTGGCTGCAAAAAAATGTTTCAGAATGATCTCTTTGGGGGACCTTTATTTATCTTCTGTAAGACTTGAATAAATACCCTTGCATGTTTCCTTATATCCCAATTAATGTAGGGATATATTATTTTAATTATTATCGCTTATTAAGTTCGATTAATGATATTCATAAAGTTCAATTAATAACATTGAATTAGTCCTTAAAGAGTTCC